GATCAGATATACCAACAGGTGTTTGGTATGCCTATGAGAAATCCATTATCTCCTACTATCGCGGATATAGTACTTGATAAGCTACTTGACGAAGCCATAGCTGAACTCAAGACTATGGGCATAATTTTTAAATTTATTACCAAATATGTTGATGACATATTTGCGGTTATCAAAAAATCTGACAAGGAAATTATTCTGACAACATTAAATAATTTTCACCCAAAAATCAAGTTTACATATGAAGAGGAACTGGACCATAAACTCCCATATCTCGACATTGAAATTATTAAACGAGATAATAATTTAATTTTCAATTGGTACAGTAAAGATATATCTTCAGGACGACTTATCAATTTTCACTCTTCACAACCTATGAGCCAAAAACTAGGTACTGTGAAGAATTTCATCAAAAAGGTATTAGATAGTAGTGACCAAATGTTTAAACAACAAAATATTGACAAAATTTACAAGACTCTATTGAATAATAATTATCCATACAGACTAATTAACAATTTAATCAAACAACAGAACATAAGTTACAATAAAAATATTCAAAATAGCAATAACCAAATTCCAAAACAATATTTTTCGTTACCCTTTGTACCGAAATTATCTAATAATAGAAATTTGACCACAAATCTTAAACAAGACAACATTTTTTGTGCTTATAAACCCAATCAAACTATCCGTAAAATTTTCTCGAACAACAAAAACAAAATTAATAAGCTGCAACAAAATAATGTGGTATATCAAATAAATTGCAACGGAAATAAAGAAGGGAGTTGCAAAGAGATATATATTGGTACAACAAAGAGATCACTCAACACCAGAATAGCTGAGCATATGTCGGACATCAACAAGAACAAAAACAATACAGCTCTATCTCAGCATTGCACCGAGAGACAACATAAACCGGACTTCGACAAAGTAATAATATTGGACAAAGAGAAATCTTGGAAAAAACGGTACACTCTCGAAAGCTTAAGAATTCAAGAGAAAATTAACTTAACTATGAACATCAAAGAAGATACGGAGAATATAAGCTCTAATTACATTGCTGCTCTAATATAAACAAAATCGAAAGTGGCGGTAACTTGAAGCAGTTGACTATAATTCTATAATTTTATAAAACTTTTAATGTTTATTCCTAACTTTTAATTTTTTATTTACAAAAAGTGATTTAAATTAATTTCAATTCTAACTATTGGTAATTATTATTATTAAATAATTCTAAAATCCTGAATGGATAATTATTACTTTTGATTGTTTTGCTATTATTGTTGTTGTTAGTCATTTTGTGTACATGTTTCTCTGTTTATACAATATCACAAATTATATCATATATATATTTTCGCATTGTGTTTTGAAATCATAATTATTAAATAAAAAATATTTTAGATACCCCTGAAGATGTTGGAAAATAACCAACGAAACGTCGGGTGAAAAATGAAATAAATTGAATTTTATTTGCATCCTAATAATAAGACCAGAGTAGCCTAAAGAAAATTCTAATATTTAAGTTTAGTTATATTTTTATTAAGCTATTCTAACATATATTGTTTCCCATAGATGAAATTTTATTAAATAAAAACAATTACTTTAAGTAAACAAACCAATTTATTTATAATAATTTTCCACTTGTCATATCTGTTTAATCTACGGAACGCCGTTGCCTTTTGAATACATTATTAATTAAATAATCATTTTTATGTACAATATCCAGAGCGGTTTACACTTCAACTACCGTTCATGGTTTTGCATTTCAAAATTGCCTATTTCTAATGAAATAATTGTTTAATACTTTCTTGGCTAATTTGCATAAAAACAGTATTCAATATTCAGTATTCAGTATTCATACAATGATAGTGCAGTTTACAGAGATTAAATATGCAAAAATAATAATAATTGCAGTGTCAAGAAAGGGTTTATTCGAAACGAATTTAAACTTAATTGACAGAATAAACGTATTGTATTTGTAATTTATCTACGGATTGTTAAGCGATTCATATTAGTTTATACTATGATGTGACTATAGTAGTTATTATTTATTGAACTGTTTATTTAATGTTAAACTAAGTAATAACCTGCAATTAAAGTAATTAATCATGCGATTGATATATTTTAAATGACTAGAGTATTTAGCATTATTTTTAGTTCTTTAACCACCCTAAGCACTGGAAAACAGATTAAAGTGTGGACTAGGTTATAGTCTTAGTACATAATGTGTATAACTTTTGAGGTATTATTATTATTCATTCAACTACTAAATAATTATAAAAGAATAATTTAAAAAGAATAATTGTAGTTATTTTTGTATAATTAAAATAATGTGTTTATATCTTTTTTTAAATAGAAAGCAGTATTTTTTAACGTAGTTTTGTAGTTTTATTAACAAAAAGTTTTGCTTCTCAAGCGTCATCTAAAATTCATTTGATTTCGACGTACTTAAGCTAATGACGGATGCTGAATAATGATTTTTCGGTTGCTGTGAATCATAGGTGAATGCGTACTTAACACTTCCAGAAGTGTGACAGTGTGACTCTGTTAAACGCGTTTCAAACAAAAAGCATTGAGGTGTCCATGATTCTGCAATTTAACAGCGAACTATTGCAAAAATTTCTTTGGCGCTGTCGCCGTCAACGACGCCGCCAACTTCGCCGTCACCGTCGCCGTTGCCGTTGCTTTTTTGTTAAGCAACTGCAAGGCAACTCAATATTTCTGAGCTTAAATATTCTGGTGAAATTTAATAATTTTATATTATTTATTTACATATATACTTTTTTGTATTTGCTTTTTTGTGTAAAAATGAATTGTTAGCATTTTTCACTCTTTACATTTTTTTTGTGTTATTTTTTTTTTTTTTTTTTTTTTTGTTAATAATACTTAAAATGAAATTTTAATATTTTTTATACTAAAGTATATTTATCGTTATTAGAGAATTGGTTTATTGAAGTCATTTATAGTCATTTATATTGTTTATTGAGTTCATTTGGTTTAATATGATTTCTACTTAATGGGTTCATTAGATTAAGTTGAACTGCAAATATCGATTGCCGTTCTTGATATATGTATATATTATATTCCGTGGAGAGTATAAACACAGAACTTTACTTTCGAAAGTTAAAGAAGTAGCAAATTAATATATATAACAAATTAAGGGGTCTACAAATCTGTTCGTATATGTTAAGTTGATTGAACTTCTATTGAACTTCTATACGAACTGCCGGTAGTGATTTGCAATTGAAGTCAACATTTTTAATTTTTTAATAAATTTATTTTTCACTTTTTTTAAGGAGTATTTAAATGCAAAGTCATAATGAATAAACAAAAATTATAAGATTTTTTCATTGCATTGTGCACTCTCTTCAATATAATCGATATAGAATATTAAAAAATGACAAAAAAGTTGTAATAAAAATAAAATAAACACTTTATGAAAAAGAACTTAAATTTAATTAAGCTAAAGCATAAGTTTACATAAATTAACTAAAATTTATAATTTGTAAAATCCGAGTTTAAAAAATAATAAGTAAATAAAATATTTATCTTTCTAAAAAGTATCAAATATAAAAAATTAGATTAAAAAATGGAAGTATAAAAAATTGACACTAGAAATGGATATAAAATATTATATATAAACAATTAGCTTCTTTATTTTAATATCAATTATTTCAAATTATATAGATCAGAGCTGTCCAGACCAGATGCTATCGCTGGCTAATACAGATCACTATACAGATTGGAGGACCGCAGAAACAAAATCATACGTTCATAGTTGTTTTGGAGAAAAATAAAAATACTATTATAATGTTAAATTTATTGTTATTAAATGATTAACTTAAATTCATTAATCTGGCATACCATAAAATACATAAAACACAAAAATAGAAAATTTGCGTAAATGTTGTAGATTAAAAACATGTTGCGGGCCGTATAAACATTAGCCGCGGGCAGCGCTTTGGACAGCCCTTATATAGGTGAATATTTTTCAAAAAATATTTTGTAAGACATAATAATATTTTGTTCTTGATAGTAATTAAAAAAAGTTAAAAAATAACAAACCTTTTGCATTATAAATATGAGTGAAAATAAATAACATGTATAAAAAATTCACAATTTATGCACAAATAAAAAGAAAAAATTGTTCTATTTATAAAAAAAAGAAAAATTTATTTCTATTTTTATTTTTCTATTTTCATTTATAGGAAAAATAATTTTACTATTTTTATTTATAGAAAAAATAACTTTAGCTTAAATTATTATTCATTAAATAACTACACATTAATTTAACTTTTTTCCATAAGAATTTAAATAAAAAAACTTCTGGACGTCAACGACAAAACTGCTGTGACACTGTCCAGCAATATTTTTATAGAAATTATTGTACATATTATTATAATTTCATAAAAATACCTTGACAGATTTCTTAATTGAATATTTCAGTGATGAATTCGAATAAAAATAATATTAGGTTTTTATTCTACCACTATTTTGTAAGAGTGAAAAAATAAACAAAGATTTGCAAGTCACGGTACAATTTTCCTATTGAGTTGTAGTTAAAATTGCTGTCTGTTTTCATGCCTATTTAATTTTATTAAAATATTTGCACTACTCAGAAAACTTCCATTAAGTAATAAATTATTGATTTAGGATTTTTACAACACGTAATTATTTATAGTAATTTATGAATAAATTTGCATAAAAATTTATTTTTATCTGAGACTTAATGCGTTGAAACACAAAATTATTTAAGAAGCCGCGGGTATACATGATTCATGCAAATCTATGCTTATTATTTAATTTAATGTAATTGTTAATAATTCTATTGACATGTCTGTGTACATATAAATTGCAATATATACATATATTTATATATGCTTTTATTACAATTTCTTTAACCATTATTGTACAAGATACTCTGAATTCAAATAAATTATAAATATTATATATACATATATTATATATATATATTATATGAGAAGCAATTAACTGAGACTTACCAGCATTGCAATATTGACCATAACCACTGGATCGTCTTCCTTATTACCCTCGGAGAGATGTTCTTGCCAAACAAGTGGATGTTGTGGAATTGTTGACATTGTATTATTTTCATTAAATGTGATATTTTCGTGTGTCATAAGTTCTCTATAAATATAAAATAAATTTTATTGATAATAGTTAGTCATAAATATACTTTATATTGTTTTTGTTTTATAAAAAAATCATAACTTACTTATATACATAAGGGCCAACTTGTTGTACATTCAATTTTTCTCGCCCTGCCAGGAACGCATCTGCGTTCGTTACATTGAAAAGATAAATTTTACAGTACAAATCTACAGGTGGCTTGGCCCATAAATTAAATATTTCACCATTCTCCGACATAATCAGTTTCTAAAAAGAGTAAGAAGAAAAACACAACAGATTATTGAAAGCAAGTGCTAGTGCTAGATCAAGAAGTAAATATTTTGCTAAATTTCTGCTTTATATAAAATTAATTTAAAGTCAAATATGACAAAGTAACTATTACGAGTAAAAACAGAAGAAAATAGATAGTCATGGAATATTTATGATCATTTAAATGTTTTAGTTACGCTATAACTGTTTTGAGTACCATATGTTTCTAATTTCTTGCAATCCATATACGGACTATTAATCAACAATTATTTCTATAGACCATCGAAGATAAATATTGGATGATATTCGAAACAATTATTCGCAAAAAATACATTTAATTAAAAAAATCTTAGTTATAGTTTTTAATTATTTTCCCCTTTCTATACGTAATAAATTTTTTTACTTATTCAATTTTTAATAAGCTACTTACCCATTTAAAAATTAAATCATAAGGCTGGAAAATTTTTACTAGAACTGCTGTGGATATAGCTAAAACTCCAATGGCTAGTAGCAAAAAGGCACCTGGAAAATAAATAAATATTCATATTTATTATATATATTAAATAAGATAAAGCATAAATATATTAAGTTTTAAAACTTTATTCAAGTGTTCCAAGCAAAATAATTTTGTGCTATTTTATGGTTTAGAACTCTAAAAAATATATATTTTAGAGTCTTTTATTTTTAAGAGTTTGGAATTTGAATTTAAGACATGTGTTTTATTTTTATGATGAAATTAAATATAATAAAATATTATAAATAATAAAAATATTATAATATTTAATATATTATAATATTAAAATAAAATTTTATAATATTATAAGAATAAAAATATTTTTGCAAGTTTTCGCTCCATACGTGTTAAAATAAAAATAAATAAATATTTCATAAAATAAGTTTAATACGAAATAAAACTATTTTAATCATCCACTAAGTCTGACTAAAGGATAGGTTTCTATAATAATGCCTTCTTTATGATAATAGGGTTTATATGCCTATATTATAACCAAGTTTATTATTGAACTGAGATATTCTCAACTATAAGTACCCCAATAGCAGAATAGATGTAATCGTTATAGTTCATTTTCATTTAATATTATATATATTATCATATGAACAATAATACTACTGAAAGTTTTTTTGTATTTCTTCAAACAAGGAATAACATACTGATTCTTCACTTTATTGATAAAAATCCAGTATAAAGAAGTTTTTTAGAAAATTTAATAAATATTCGGTTATATATATTTGCATGCAACATATGCATTCCTTCATATAAAAAATATTATTTGCAATTTAGTTAATTTATTTACTTGATTCGCAAATTCTTTATACTGATAAAAATCCAGTATAAAGAAGTTTTTTAGAAAATTTAATAAATATTCGGTTATATATATTTGCATGCAACATATGCATTCCTTCATATAAAAAATATTATTTGCAATTTAGTTAATTTATTTACTTGATTCGCAAATTTAATATTAAACATCAACCACTAGTTAACCCATTAGTTACTGAACAAAATATTCTGTAAATGCAATATTAACTTTCAACTCGATTCTAAGTTAGTCGTGTCATTTGTATTTTTAACTCAAAATTCGTCAGATATATTTAGTGCCTACATATAGCACATTTATGCTCCATTGCAGCAATTGAGTATTTTAGACTTTTTCAAGACATTGATTTTTTCATAACTTTTATTAAAAAATAATGTTTAATTATTGTACAATAAAAAAAATTAAAAAGAAATATTTACCGATATACACGACAGCGCAAAGTTTTAATACTAAGTTGAAATTTTTTGAATGTAGTGAAAAACTATTGGACGGTAAGAAAATAATTTAAATTTATTGTAAATGTTCTATATCAACGCTAGTATTGTGAACTATGGATCCAATTATTTATACAATTAGCGATAGATAATATATGTAGTTTTTTATTAATGTGAGCAATGTTTAAAGTTTACCACTTTAAATATCAATGTCTCGAGAAGTTAGCTATATTGGAATACAACGTAATAGGAAAAATTGTTGAAATGTAGAGTTCACTAAAATCCGTTATCCTTTTCCAGAAAATTACGATTGTGCTATTGTTTTGAATTAAAATGTTTAAGTGTACACTTTAAATATTAAGTTCATTGAACTTACCAGTATCTTCGGCATAAGTTTCACAAACATAAAAAATAAAACTAAACGGCCTTACTTATTGAGAAGAATAAACTAAAAGATTTTTGATATTTAATTTCAGTTTAATATCCACCAACAAAAAAAAAGAAAACAAAATTCTGAGATGCAATCCCATTCTACTGCTCGGTAGCGCGTACAGATATTTTAAAGACCAAAGTCAGTACTCAAAAATAAAAACAGAGTATTGATGCAGTGTAGAAAGTGTTTGAAAGTGAATGTATAAATGGATGAAGATTTATAAATCTAGAGCTAGATCATTCATAGAACTATATGGATCTATAGTTTACAATAGTAGTGTTGATATTGAACATTTAAAATGAATTTAAAATATTTTATTATTGTAAAACGCCACCTGGCGTTTCCACATGTTTTTAGTGGCTTTCATGTAAAAATGTCAAATTTTACAGTTCCATATCTTAATAACTATATTGATATAGAATAGAATAGAAATATACGGGGTACTAGCCCCCAACGAAGCAGAGCACTGCGACCAGATTGATCTTTTGTGCTGCAATTGACCCTAACCGAATAGCAGACATTCCGCCTTTCGAATGAAAACCAGAATGTCGTCCTTTGAGGACCTTCTAATGTCAGAAGGAGAGAGCAGCTGTCCTCCCAGTGACCTCCTCCTTGCCCAGATCAAGGTTGAGCAGTCACAGAGAATGTGACTGGTAGTCTCGTCTGCTTCTAAGCAGAGTCGACACTCCATCTCTTCGGACAGACCTATTTTATTAAGGTGATAACGCAGTCCATGGTGACCCGTTAAATATCCCACCAGCAATCTCAAGACTGATCTGCTAAGGAGGGATGCCTTGTCATAACTGTATGGGTGAACCATCTGTTTAGCCTGAGGGTTACCTTGATTGTCGCGCCAGTAGCGACCTCTCTTGGTTGAGATCCATTTATCAATTAGATACCTAGTTGTAGACCAACTTAATACACAATAAGCTTAACTATATTGAAATATTGTGTAGTGAAAAATGTTGCTTAAATGTTTGATTTGATTTTTTTTATGTTATTAAATGCATTTATTACCCTCTGCTATTTTAGATTTAAATATTAAACTAAAATTCAATGTTTTTAATAATTTTACATACCTGTATAAACTGTCTTACAATTTTTATATTTTTCAAAAACTTTTTCAAATAAACGAAACGGGTTAGAGTACGTTGGCGTTACAGATTTGTGTTGACACCTGAAAATATTTCATTCATATCTTCAAGATATATTTTTGTATATAAAAAAAATCGATTTAACCGATTTTTAAAGGTGCTAATTATTAATTAAATATTTTGAAATAACATGTAACATTTACTTTTCAAATTGAGTAATATACAAATTTATTGATCATATAATTTATTATACAAATATCTGCGCCTATACTTATATCTATGAATTAAATAATTTGTAAAAGATACATCATTGTATCTAATAATGTCGGCGTCATTGATTTTCAAAATATGCCATATAAATATGTCTTTGTGTCATATTTTTCTTTAAAAAAGTACACATTTTGTATGATTCATTGTGGACGTACTGTGTAAATAGTTCTTATATGGAACATAAACAATTAAGAACATTTAAATTTGTTTGTTTTTGGTGTAAAAATTATATATAAATTTTTTTATTGCAAGATTTTTGTATGTTCATGCATATAAATGACTTCATTTGAATCCAGTTTTCAAGTGCAAAAACTATTGAAGACATTCTAGTATATACAGTCATATTCTGGATTTCTAGATAGTGCTTTGGCTTTTGGAGAAAGAAACTCACAAATCTACAAAAACTTAAAGGTTTAATAAAATCTACATTAACTGCATGTAAAAATAAAATCTGGTGTTGCACATGCGCCAAATGACTGACTGACAAGCCTATTAATGCAGCACGTGAGCTGTATGCACTGGTGCATACCCCAGTGTTAATAAAAACTGGTCGGAGCAGCTAAGTGTAATCTGCGATTAAATTTCAAAGCAATTAAAATATCAATAAATAAATAAATATTTTTACAAGTATTTATGTACATGTAAAGATATTTGTGTATATACACATATCACATAAAATAAGTGAGTTCATGTGCAAATAATCACTGCCAATCTTAATTTTCAGAATCAAGTTTAAGAATATTTCGAATATGTTTTGCGATAAATGAACTAGAGATTGAATTACATGCAAACGATCTAATAAATAAAGAGTAATCAAATTGGAGATATATTTTTAACTTGAATTAAAAGCAAAAAAATATGAGATATAAATATGGCTTTCTTTTATTTAAAATATTTATTCATGAGATTTTTGTTTATAAATTAATTTGATGTAAATGACCGTCTTTGGATTCGTTTTAAAATTCTATTTTGGAGTAAACTTGTAGTTTTCCTACCGTCTAATAGAGAAGAATCAAGTAAATAAAAGTCTCTTATCTAAGGTAGATAATTTGCTGATCAATTGCCATATACCAAAAATTACATTGTAATTATTGATGTGAAAACGCCCAACAGCCGGCACTACAGGCAGAAGAGTCATATTGTCCCAATTTCACTAAACACTTTAAAGAGTTATGAACAAAGTCCAGAACTAAATCTAGAGAAGAGCTCTTAACCTGTTCTCTGCTGACAGAAATTCCATATGAAATAAATTTCTTCTGTGCGTTGTTAAAGCTAGACAGTCACAGAGAATATGCATAGTTGTTTCCTCATCTTCGAGGCATAGTCTGCATTCCGCATTACCAGATAATCGTAGTTCATGTAGTTGGTATTTCAGACCATAATGTCCCGTCACGAAACCTGTTATCAATCTTAAATTGCACTTTCAGAATTTAAGAATGTTTTTGTAGGAGTACGATTTGATCAGTGCTGAATCAAGACTGAATAATCAATATCCCTCCATTTAGGTTTTCTTTAATCTTTCTTGACCGTTTTTGTACTTCCAGGATTGCACATTCATGCGTCTTCTGCCATTTTCTTTTAAAAACAATTCTGATTAAGTATCCCAACCATTATAGTCTTTGTATTCTTGTAAAATACAATTAATATGTTAAAAAAATGCTGACAGTAGTGATTGAGTATGAAATAAACTTTTGCTTTCTGTTGTGAAGTTTTTATTTGATCAACGTCAAAAACCATATCAAATTAGTGAGAAGAACAAAGAAAAATAAATTGCCCTTCTCAAATAAGAAGTAGAATTTTTATTCTGTTAACAACAAACCAGTTTATCGGCTACAGTGTTCGCATTACACAGATTGTCAGACACATTTTTAGTCCTTAAAATAATGCAATATTATACTTAGTATATAGAATACAGACAAAAATTTATTTATATATTTCAATTTCAAACTTGTTT